TCCCACAATGCAACGCGGATCCCAAGCCCTATTGGGCTTCTACCTCCAGATATCAAAAATAAACATTCTTCCTATCTAAAAGTAAATTGTGACTAGGAAGAATTCTAATTTTACATCTCCAAAGTGGAGTTACTGCTTTCAAAATTACTATTTCAGATATCAAAAATTAATATAACATTACAGATATCCAGAAATCCAATTCTTGACACGTAAAATATATTTCTACTGGTAGAAATATAATAACAGATATCAACTATTGATATATGACTTGTTAAATTGGAATTTCAGATATCTAAATTTGAATAATGCCTATCCAAAATACAGTTTTAGATACTGTGCAGTCTAGCTTCCTCTGTGTGGATTTGAAAGCAGTAATGGCTCCTGTGATAGTCAGAATTTGTGGCGACAGAGACCGTCTCGCAGGAGAAACTTCAACAGAAAGTCTGTCAAAAGCACAAGTTCTGTTCATATTTGCCTCCATTTTACTCTTGAGGAAAAAATATTCTGACAGTGTTTAAAGCGGGAGTAACAACTTTCTTGGTGCGGTGTTCAAAAATGTCCGACTCATACATTGCATCTATAAGCAGTTACGTTAAAGCAGTCATTTCTAATTTAGATAGGAAGAATGGGAATTATGGATGTCCACAACTAAATTGTTCCTAGTACAAATGTAGTTATAGATATCTGTAAATACATTTGTACCAGTAAAAATATTTTTTTTTAGATGTCAGAAATTATACTTTAGATATCTGCAATGTTTTCTTTATTCTTGATATCTAACATAAAAATTATGACCAGCAACAAACGGATTACAGAGATCTAAAATGCATTTTTAGACATCCATAGTGTTTGTTTCAGAATGTCATTTTGGATATCTGAAAGTAACGGCCCAATACACATATAGGAGAAATACTATTAAAGATATAAATAAATATATGTTAAAACGGCCACTTATATTGGGATTTTGTCCGATATCTGATATGCCGATATTTTAAAACTCATGTAGCAGATAACCGATATCGATACTGATGGACAAAATTAAGTAGTCATTGAAAATAGCAGTTTTGTTATCCATTTCTGACACTGAAAAATAATATACTCAAATATATTTTCATATGCTGATATCAAATTGATTTTTAAAAACGCGGCATCGATCTATTTTACTTTCAAAATCTCATGAAATTTAATCGTTCTGTTACAAACTCTCGTGATATTTTGCAAATTCTTGTGAGATTTTGTTAGTAAAATAGATCGATACCGCGTCAATATATCAACATATAAAAATATGGCAAGATTTTGTGAATTTTCGGGGGATTTCGTAGCACAACGATGACATATGGCAATATTTCATTAGTAAAAGAGATTGATATGGTGTTTTTAAATGGCAATATATCAGCATGTGAAGATATTGTGATAATTTAATGTATCAATATTTTGTCCCTCGTCTTTAGAAGTTTTTAAGTCTGTAAAAAAGAAGTTTTTGAGGAAGAAGAAGAAGTAGTATTTTTATATATTTTTTTTTAGACTTTAGAAACTCAGAAACTGATCAAATATTGGGTTAAATATCGGTGGGTTGGTCGATGTCCGATATTCAGTTTTAAGGCCTATACAGGCCGATACCGATAGGGGGCCGATTATATCGTGCATCCCTACACTTAATATAAGTAAAGATTTGTAGATATCTGAAATGTAGGTATTATTAGTTCAAATTTGATTCCAGAGTACTTAAAATTTTATTTCTACTGTTAAAAATGTAGTTAGTGATATCTAAAATACAGTTCTGACTAAGAGTATTGTAATTATGACTAGGTAGAATGCTTTAGTGCTATCTATAATAGAAATGTGACTAGTCAGCCTGCCTATTTTATGTTAAAACTGAGCGTCATTATTCTTTTGAAAGTATCTAAAACAAAATTTTAGATGGGCATTATTACAATGTCGATATCTGGAATTCTAATTTAACTAGTCATTAAATAAGTGGTTGATATCTGTAATTATATTTGTTCTAGCAGAAAAATATTTTAGATGAACATTTCAGATATCTAAAATGTTCATTTTGACTAGGAAGAAATGCATTTGAGACATCTGGAACGTACCGGTATATTCAGTCAAGCTAATAAATGTCGAAATGGCCTGCCATACAGGTTAGGGGACAATAGCAGGGAAGCATGTTGAGGAATCTTTGTTGGAAGGAAAACATGTTTTCATGATGAAGTGTTTGTGTTGGTTTAACTCGATGAATGTCTGCAGCTTTGTTGTCTGTCTAACTCCTTTGAAACTCCCAAACTTGACAGTCAGCTTATTGAACAAAGAGATTTTATCATTTACACGTGATTTTCTTTTTAGGATATCTCATGCACATATGAGGAGAAAAGAATACAAATATATTTGTTTGATCAACAGACTACTTTCACGTGCAAGCAGATACTTTCATTAAGCTTCATGCCAGATTTCCGTCTGTTGCTTGAGGGGGATCCACGTTTAATTAGATTTTCTTAATAATCAAAATGAGAACATTGAACAATAAAAAGTTATATTCAAAAGATGAGCTGTCATTCGCATAAAGAGGTTTTGTTAAGGACACTATGATGAAATCTAAAAAGTTAAAAAGTAGGTTAGGATTAAAATGAGTTTACGCTCATGATTCTTGCTGTGGATCAACACCAGTTGCATTAATTCAACAATGTTTTAGTTATTATTTACAGTTTTATAAACTATAAATAACCGTGTCACATTTTTTCTCTTTAGATTCAATACTTAAATCTGGATATTTGTGGATCCTGATACTTTTCCTACACCATTGCTCTCTTTACTTTAATCTCATTATCATTATTAAAGTAGATTTTTCTCTACAAGAAAGTATAAGATATATAAATGGACGAATGTTTATCCTAAGGGGCAATTTGAAATGAGTGAAAGGTCAGAATAAAACAGTGAACCATCAACAAGACAAATTCTGTCCTGAAAACAAATATGCAGCCATAAGGGTTTAAATAAACTAAAAAATAAAATTAACTTTTTTGATCTCATAATGGAGAAATTAACTCTATATTTAACCCATCCCCTTTGGGGAGCAGAGAGCTGCAATCGGGGGTTAAGGGTCTTGCTCAGAGACCCAGAGCAAGAGTTTAATGAGTCCCATTTAAAAAAAGTAGCTTTTCCTTCTGTCTAAAAGATTTTTAATCTAACATTTGGACCCATTTTTACCTATACCCAATCTAAGACATTCTTCAATATCAGGGGTGATAACAATATTAGCAGATCAGTGCATCTCCTGTCCAAATCTTCTAAAGTGGAAACAGGATTAGAAGTCCTCCAGTAAAATCAGATGATAATATTATGTTTGGTTCTAGGTACAGAGTGCAATTAAGTTAAGGTCAGTGATTTGCCTGTTGGCAGCTGCTAAAAAGATGTTTACTCAAAGCTGATGATAGAATGTACTCCTTGACTTCCTCACGTTGAGCAAGCATGTGCCAAGATCGGAGCCAAACCGCTCCCTTTTAACAGGGGGACACCTCACAGGATCAAATCCACTATGTGTGTCATGGGAAATAAGACATTAAGGAGAAATTAGGGAAACGCTGAGCCAAAAGTGCTTCGGGAATACTTTTAATTGCTCCATGTTCTTTTATATATTCAAATTTCAAAAGCGAGACGCCCCAGTTGGCAAGTAAAGCATCCTAAATATTGGATTGACCCTTAAACTCAGGTGTGATGTTATAATCCTAATGGTCTGTATCTGAGGGCATTCGCTGCCCTTTCTTCTGTAGTTAGTGGGCTCAGTCCGTCTTTCCGGTTAACAGTTAAATGGATTTTCTTTCCATCTCGTTTTCCCGCTGACCTGTTTCCCCACCCTTATGCCCCCATCTTCTGCTCAGGCATTTTTCTCTGATTACATTTACTTCTCCTCTGCTCCCTTTATTTCCCCACCTGTCCATTAGGTTTGTTGCTCCACCGTGGCTACTTCCATCTCCCCCGTCTTAACTTGTTTCACTCACTTTCGCTGCTAACCTGCTGATGGCAAATCTCTGAACATTTCCCTCTGTCTCTCTCCCACCCTGGTTCTGACCCTCCAGATGAAAATGATGGTTTTGACCATGTCACGGAGGCTGGAGGAGATCGTAGCCGGCCTCAAGGAGGGATGCACCAAGGCTTGAAGGTTATGGTCGTTAACTCGTCTGTGATGCTGTTTTATTTACTGTTGTTGCAGATTTCGGATTTTATTGTCTCAACACGTGAATATATTTTTATATAAATACCTGCGGCTCTGAAATTTAATCTAAACCGTTTTTTGTTTTTTTCCCTCTCTCTCTTTAGAACATTTTGTCCCAGTTCCACCTTGTGCACAAGAACTTACAGCTGCAGACACACATACTCGTACCTTCCACTGGGCTTTGTCCTAAAAACCAGCGGTGAAACAAAGACTGCCTCCACTTGTAATCAATCATCTTGCCACCTAGGCTCTGTGCGGCTCGCGGCAGCATTCGCTCTGTGTGTCTGGTGAAGAATAAATTCGCACCATGAGCAGAATGTTTATTTGTGCAGGATTTTTTATCAGGCAGGCTGCACACTCAGCACAATGCGGTATTGATCTGGCCACTTGAGGCCACACACTCTTCTTTATTCTGCTCCTTGGATAGGCAGTCTGTTCTAGGTGTGTATATTTTTGCAAATGATTAATTTTCCAATTAAAGCAGTTATTGATGATAAAAAAAATGTTTCAAGTTTTTGATTTATCTTACTGATGTTTGGTTGTTTTTAAACTGTTTTGTGTAATAAAGTGTTTTACCACCCCATGTGATGATTTAAGCCGTGTTTATTTCTTGAAATAATGTTTTGAGCTGTTTCCCCTTGCTTTTGCCCTAATGCTTGTAAAGGATCAGAGGCTCATCCCTCTTTACCTCCCATGGATTTAAGGGCTAAACAGCAAATTTCTTTAGAAGCTGCCGGTGGCGTGAATGATTCCTTATTAATGCCTCACAGTTTGTTTACTAGCTGACCTCTAATGTGCCTGGCAACACTTTCTCCCAAAGCAGGAGAGCAGCTACACGCTGCACTGCTTCGCCCTCCCTCATCCACGAGGTTTCATCAGCCTCACACATCAACAACAGCTAGAAATGGCCAACCAGCACGCTGTATCCAAGGGCTGGTTGCGATGGCAACTAAGAGCACGTGCTACGCTGGGTGTCTGTTGCCATCTCATCGCATCCGCCACTGGAGGAGCAGCCAGCCAGCACGCCTGTCAACAGGCGTTATCCCCCCCCCGTTCATACACAGACACACATGAAAGGGGAGGAGTCCTGAATGAACCCCCCACTCAACATTAATCCCTGTATGATGTTTTCTTCCCCGGTCTGACTCCACCCTCATACTTCTCCTCCCACTGATTCTCCCCACCCTTAACTCTGTGGGTGGGGGGTCAAAACAACAACAAACAAACCGCGTGCTGATCATTTGTTGTAAACACAAGCCTCCATGTGTTTCTAGAGAGTCCAGCCCATTTGTCCATATGAGCCCAAAAACACTGATATGTAAATAAAAGCATTTAACATACACCGACGTTTGTTTATTCAGCCAAATAAAAAAATACTATCTGTCCTTCAAAGTAGATCATTATCTCAGTGAATGACTCCCTAAATGGCGTCAGTGTGAATTACATGTCTCATATATACATTTTGTTGCTAGATGCATTGCACAGTTAGATGCAATTATTGCACTGGCTTCACCTTATTCACCCCCTTACGTCTCAACCAATCGCTGCCACCCAAACCAAGATAGAAACACACATATCAGTTGGCACATTCATACAGCCTCTACAACACATGGGGACAAAGGATGAATAATGCAGTGGTACTGTCTGAGTGAAAGTCGCCTCCCCTCCTTCCCTCCTTTGCACCTTCCCTAAGCAATAAGGAAGCAATGTTGCCATGGAGGCAATGAAGCCTTGGCAGGCTGGTGACCAATGACAGCCCTTCCTGTGTGAAGCAGTCGTCCAATGGCTAACTCAGACGGATGCTGCTGCTACCACAGACACTGAGATCCGATTGGCTCTCTGCTGCTCTTTGATTGAATTTCTGATCTTGTTTATGAGAGGAGAAAAAATATCTCGAGGAGTGCCACCTGTGTGTTGCCAAGTTAGATGAAATGTTGGATTTTCATATGGTTTTAAAATAAAGAGGAAAAATCATGATGAGGAAATTCTAAATGTAAAAGCCTTCTTCGGTTCTGATGGAGAGTAAAATTATTTGGGGGATTGTCATCATTGTTTATTACATTAGGAAAAAAAAGGAATTTTCTTTGTTTTATGGAGCATTATATTTAGCTTTCCCTTTAACAAACTGCTGCACCTCACCAGCTTCTAGATGATTTATGGACAGTGTAAGCCTGACCACTCCTGTACCTTCTATCAGCTCTCTGCCTGCAGTGAGATTGGTTATAAACTAGTTTTACAAAATTCAAGTCAACAATCATTAGTTCCTAAAAAAAATCTACTTTCTTACACTGTTTTGAAAAAAAAAAAAATTAAGTACTTTGCTGGATGGACTAAAACTGCAAATATATTCTGTAGAGAGCTAAAGATTAGGGCGAATAAAATGAAGTTTCTATGGAATTTTCTGTTAATTTGTATCCTCCATACCTACCGACCTGCCTCTTTCTGTGTATATGTTCCTTCCATCCTCAGCACTTTTAGTCTTTAAAATTACCAAATTGACATGTTGTAGTTAATTCTTTTATTATTATTTATACTTTTATGTATAGTTTTCAGTGTATAAATCTATTACATTTCTTTTGGTATTTTATCTTTTGGAATGAGTCTTAAAGAGGCATGTAAGTTTTCACCAAAAAGTATCTTTAATACAGCTTTTTTTTTGTTTGACCCTTTATGACTAAACCATTGTTTCATGAGAAGACTGACACCTCAGTAGTTCAGTGCTAATGCATCTATAAGCCTGTATCCTTTTTTCCTGAATCTATGGGCCAGAAGTTCCCGCGCTCTTCAGTGGATGTGATGTCAAGCGCGGCCATGTTAAATGGGTGCAACATGGCAAACACTGAAAGTGTTAAATTCAACGTGGATTTTGTGGTCACTTGGAAGCGACTGGTATCCAGCTCAGGTCAGACACGAATAGCAACTCCACTTAAGGCGAATAAAGTGATAAAAGTAAAAAAAAAAAAAAAAAAGCTACCAGAACAAGCAGCAGAGTGTTGCAGTTCTGTATTTTGGCCAAAGGTGGCAGTATTAGAAAACTTTAATGCCTTTAAGTCTTTGAACTTCATTCCTCTCATTAATCTTTTGCTTCTTTCATGGATGAAATTTTGATTTCCGAAGTGGGGGGACGCAAGTGTTTGACCGTCCAATCACAGACCCGATTCAGTAGCATATCAGATGTTTCGCAGGAGTGACAGCGGTGACAGTCAATCACACATGAAAAGACGGAAAGCCAATCAGGAGCTTGTGGGCAGACTAAACTCAGGGAGACGGGCTTCAGCTTGAGCTGCAATTTTCGCTTGGTCCAAGTGCTCGACGAATGTCTGTATACTGTAGCGTAAGATTGTTTTGGACAGTAAAAAGTGCAGGGGACGCAAATGTAGATTTGAAAAAGTGCAGGGGACCCCCCACCCCCCAAAAAAGAAATTACGTCTCTGTCTTTTTTAGTAGAGCAGAAATTCTTATAGTACCACAACAGGGAAATTTGGGTGTGATGGTGGTCTGATAAAGTTGAAAGACAGATCCTCCACTTAACTGTACCTTGTTTTAATAATTTAACAATTATCTTTTTTCCTGCTTTATTAACTGAAAGATTACCCTGGAAAAGCATTACATTTTTTAATTAAATAAATTATTTAAGTACCTAAACCTACTTTTACTTGTAATAAGAAAAATCATAGATAAAATCCAGGTAGAAGATCCAATCTTTGATGAAGCCAGCTAAACCTTGACTTGATCCATCCCTATTGTGTTTCCCTAACATGGCTACTTGTTCAACATGTGTTTGCAGTCAAAGTGATTAAGGAAATCTGGTGCCATTCGTCTTACAGACGAATTTACACTTCAGTTAAGCTCTTGTATTTCCTGGATGAATCAGTTTAACTTCATATCAAACCTTTGAGAAACCTATTTTTGTTCAGCGTCTATTGAACGGTTAATCCATGAAGTCTTTACATCAGCCTTCTTGTTTGATTAATAACCTTCATCAGTCAGTCTGACGGAATAACCCAAATCCCCACAGTGCTCAAAGTCTCCTGCTTCATTAGAAAACATCTGCTTGTTTATTTCCTCCCACTTTCAGATGTACGGTGGTATCAGCTATTTAACCAGCCTTCACTCTCTCCTGTTCAACCATAACCTGCATGCAGAAAGGCAGCCAGGTCCCCCATAAGGACCTGATGAGGTCATCTTTTCATCCTCTACTGCCGTCACCATGCAGCAGGTTAATCCAATGTTTTTCTCAGACACAAAGGCTCGTCCCTGGGCCAGTGACACCCCGGTGTGCGCGTGGATATGCGATGAGGGAGGGGGGCTGAAAACAGGATTAGTGTCATCAGGATCTAAGCCTGAACAGATTGAGAGAAACAAAGTCCTGCTGGACAGTAAGTGGTCAGTTTGCACTCACATTAAAAGTGCTCACAACACTCCATTGCAGGGCTGTGTTATAAAGCTTTGTGAATGCCAACACCATCCTGTCTGTTCTTTATCTGATAAAAGCTGTTTAACCTTAATTATGTCAAAGTAAAAAAGCTGAATTTCTCCTTAAAGGGGAATTCTCAATAATGTTTTTCAAATCACTTGAATACATAAACTTTTTCTCACTCTGATTTTTCTCATGCTGGATTAATCTTGTTTCTCAGATAATCTCTGTAAAAGAAAATTAATTTCACTGTATCTAATCAGTCTAGATTAATAAGTTTTGAGGTTGTATTTGGATTAACAACTCACTGTAGATGGCAGAGGCTCTCGTCTTTTCTTTGTGTTAATGTTTTCACTTAAGAAAATAGGAAAGCATTTCTAAAAAGTTACATTTTAATCGTTTGTAATCAGAAAAGATTATATTTGTCAAACGATTCATGCTAGTTATTCATTTATACAAAAGGTGGTAGGGAAAAAAATGAGGAAAGATTTTTTTTTGTCTTTATATTTGTTTTTTGCTAACTCCAACAACACCCCAGTCCTGAAAGCCTGAATAAGAAAAGGTCTTAAGTGCTCACCCGTTCAAATGTATACATTTTTTTTTTCTATTCTCTATCCGTCATTTCCCGAATGTTGGAAAACATGACTACAACGGTTCCATAGTATAGGTATATGAAAGCAGATTCAGGACAGACATTTCTATTCTCAACATTTGCAACATTAGCCAGGGGGGGATAAATGTCGCAAGTGATATCTTGTTTAGCTTAATGACTCAGCTCAGTTTACCAGAGAACGGATTATAGATTTTTGTTCTGTGTTTAACTCTTTTATTATCTTTTTTATTCTAGAAGCATGAACTTAAATGTTAATAAATGCACAACTTTCTGGAAAAGAAGTTTTTAC